ACCGCTACCCTTCCCATTGGCTAATCAGTGAGATATGCAAATTAATCGCCAGCCAAGATGGCTGCTAATTTTCATATGTCGGCTCCAAGTCACGGACTGAGGCTTTAGGCCTGGGTAAGGGAGGAGCCAGCCAGCGATTGTTGATGGCGGCGGAGGTGGGGAACCAGGGCGGAGCCAGCCAGGGATCGGCTGCAGCGGGAGCTGGGGGTTCCCGGTCCAGGCCTAAAGCCTTGGCCTGAGGCTTTAGGCTTGGGTCAGGGAGGAGCCAGCCAGCGATCGTTGATGGCTGCGGTGGTGGGGAGCTGGGGGTGCCCCAGCCCAGGCCTACCACCTCGGCCAGAGGCTTTAGGCCTGGGCCGGGGAGGAGCCAGCCAGTGATCCTTGATGGTGGTGGTGGCCGGAACCGGGGCGCAGCCAGCCAGCGATCCTTGATGGCCACGGCGGCTGGGAGCTGGGGGTGCCCTGGCCCAGGGCTAATGCCTCGCCAGAGGCGTTAGGCCTGGGCAGGGGCCAAACCAGCAATTGGTGTGAACTACAGAGGAAACACCTTTTCTGACTGCTGATTGGTTAAGCTCCCTGTATGCCACTGGTAATATTCTTAGTAACTTGGGTAATAAGAGTCCAAAAAGTGATCTAGGGTTTTTTTTACCACACTCCTGGAGAAAAAAAGGAAGGTCTGCTGCTGGAGGGTTAAGAAATGTCATATCCTGTCCTAGCCGGTTTGGCTCAGTGGATAATGCCTCGGCCTGCCCAACGCAGATTCTGGGTTCAATTCTGACCAAGGGCATGTACCTAGGTTGCAGGTTCCTCCCTGGCCCGGGCCCAGGTCAGGGCTCATGCAGGAGGCAACCAATCAAAGTGTTCCTCTCACTTTGATGTTTCTCTCTGTCTTTCCCTTTCTCTTCCACATTCTCTAAAAATCAATGGAAACATATCCTCAGGTGAGGAGGAAGGAAGGAAGAAATGTCATATCCTATGACAGACACTTCTTGAAAATGCCTAAAGAAAGTTGTCATTTTTTCATGGTAAAGGGACTGGAGTCCGTGTTGATGAAAACACCTTGGTGGCTGCGGTGACTGGCAGTGGCTGCAATAGCGGGGTGATGGGGCTGGTGCCTTCCCCTGATCAGCCCGGTTGCCTCCCACAAAGGGAGGCCAGACTGTGGCTTAGGCCCGCTCCCCAAGGGGAGCAGGGAGCAGGTAGTAGGACATCCCCTAGGGCTCCCAGTATGTGATAGGGGCCAAGCTGGGATGAGGGAACCCTCTCCCCAGTGCACAGATTTTTGTGCACTGGGTCCCTAGTATATATATATTAGAGAAATATGCTAATTAGGCCGGGACACCATCAGGACCAAACAGGAGGAGGTTGTGCACGGAGCATCGGGAGTGGGGCGGAACTGGGGACTGGCTTCCTTAGTAGTCCTGCAGGGTCAATCTCAAGAGGACAGGCCAGGCACCAATGGACCAGAGCTGCCGGCACTTGAATGTGAGCAGACAGAAGGAAAAAAGACCTTCAAGGCCTGTCCAAGGTGGGTTTGCATTTAAAACCAAGTGGGGTGGTCCGGAGCTGTGCGGCACTGACAACCATGGCAGTCGCAGAGTCAGAGGTGCGGCTGTGGCTCACAGTGTGGGGAGTGAGCGGAGGCTTTGCCTGCTAAAGGTCAGCTAATTTCAGCTCAGAGGCAGGCACAATCAGGGAAGCTGGTGGGACCTTCACAAAAAAAAGAGAAGGCTGAAGAGGAAGGATACTCCTGAGAGCGGACTAAAGAACAGCTGGCAGCCTTGAAGAAATAACATGAAGGAGAGATAACTCATCATAAAAAGGAGATTGAGCGTCTGCAGAAAGAAATTGAGCGGCACAAGCAGAACATCAAGAAACTGAAAGATCATGATACTGCAGTGGTGTCAGGGTGAGGGGCAGCCATATTTGCCGGTGCGCCCGAGCTGTTAACAACAAAAAGTGCGCGGGAGCTCGGCGGGCGCATGCCCCCGGGGGGAATGTCTTGCAAACTGAACTTGACCGCACATGCCCGCTGCCCGCCCTCAATGCAGCTGGGAGCGTCCACCCGCCTTCCACCGGCATGGCGACGTCCTCCGGGTACCGCCAGCTGCTGATTGACTGTGGACCACCATCTCTAGGCTTCACGCAGGGAACAGGGAACAGCCAGGTGCCCCAGAGCAAATATGCTGAGCTGCTGGCCATCCTGGAAGAGCTGGGGAAGGAGATCTGACCCAGGTAAGCGGGCATCAAGAGCGGGCATCAAGAGCGCGATGGAGAGACTGAAACGAGGCATCATCCCCGTAAGAGGGCTGGTTCGGGAGTGCTTGGCCGAGATGGAACAGAATGCCAGGTCCTAGCCTCCGAGTCAGCGCGAAAGGCTTTCCATCTTCTTCCAAGAAGTGACAGCTTATTGTCCTCCTCCCACCCCGACCCCTTCAGAGGAAACTCGGTTTCAAAATGGTAACAGCTTAGTTTCTCCTCCCCGTGCCTCTCCCATGGTTCGTCAGGCTCTGAACTTCCCGTCGCTGAGATGGAGAAGAGATTTTTGCAGTTATTAGGTTTACATATTAGTTAGAAACTGCCCAGGGCGTTTTGTGTGTGTGTGTGTGTGTGTGTGTGTGTGTGTGTGTGTGTGTTTAAAGCATTGATTTATATGATGCACGTCAGTTACCTATCACAGCAAACCGTAGTTGGCCTCCCAGATACCGTGTTTCTCTTCTGGATACATTTCTGTTCCTCACATGTTTATGTTTCTCTTCTGAGCTGATCCAACTCTGAGGGTTTGTTTCAGCAAGTCCTGAGGCAGCGCTTTAGTAGCCAGTGCCCGTTCGCCACACAGTATAAATTCTGCTCATTGTAACTTTTTTTTTTTGCTTAATAATATGCATGAATATTAGTACTTTGAAGTCAATCTTTAAAATGCACAAATTATAAATACAGAAGAAAGAGCAACTTATCAAACCTTGCCTGACAAGGACCCCTGAAATTTCCCCTAAGGATGTATGTATATTTCAGTTCTGCCTTTCCCATCAATGGATCCAAACATCTGGAAGAAAGTGACTAATAGTGTTTGCATCTTTGCATGTATTTATTACTTGATGTAATAAAGCTTACTTTCATTAACAACAACAAAAAAGAAACTGAAAGATCATGCTGATGATTAAGTGCACACAGTTCCCCATAGAATGGTTACATACCATCCACTTCAATGAAGACAAAGTTCCGGTAACTAATATCTATCTATGCTGCCAACAGATTATAATAAATTATGATCAGTGGAAAAAAAACACCCAAGTGGGATGACATCAGAATTACCCAAGCGCGCTCCCAACCCCTTCACCTGCCCAGACGCCTAAGGTCCCTTTACAGCTGGGCTGAGCCCAGTGCAGCCCAGTGGCCTGGACACCAGGCCTGACCTCTTCTCTGGTTTGGCCCAAGCATCTGAAGTTCGCCTTAGTTGCCTACTTAAGAAATTGGAGCGTTCACGTAAAATCAGGATTCCCCACTTCTCTTTCCAAAGTGGCCGACTGGGCTACCAACCAAGGGTGGTCGGTGTCACTTCAACCCTAAGAGGAACCCCTAGCTTGGGGGTGTGGTGAGGAGGAAGCTATCCGTGCAGACAGTTCAGTTGTGTAAACTCTTGCTGACTGTGGCACAGCCCAACAGTGTGGCCGCTCAGCTGCGAGGCAGCACAGCCATGAAACAGTGCGGCTGCTAAACAAGGCCCCTCTCCAGCTTTCAGGGGGCTCAACATGCTCCAACCCAGTGCACCCACTCTTCCCTGAGCTGCCCAGTGCACCCCACTCTGCCCCAGTGAGACAGCCTCAATGTTTCAGCTCCAGCAGACAGAACACGTCCCAGCAGAAAGGGAAAGTGTAGCCCTGGCCGGTGTTGCTCAGTGGATAGAGCCTCTGCCTGAGGACTGAAGGGCCCGGAGTTCAGTTCCCGGTCAGGGCACATGCATGGGTTGTGGGCTTGATCCCCAGTGTGGGGTGTGCAAGAGGCAGCCAATCAATGATTCTCTCTCATCATTGATGTTTCTATCTCCCTCACTCTCTGAAATTAATATATACTAATGAAAGGGTAATATGCTAATTAGACCAAACAACTTCCAGACAACTTTCTGGACATCCTTTCAGACAAAGCCATGGTGGCGGGGCTGTGGCAGAGATGGTTAGGGAAGATCAGGCAGGCAGGCAGGTGAGCGGTTAGGAGCCAGTAGTCCCAGATTGCAAGAGGGATGTCCGACTGCCTGTTTAGACATCCCCCAAGGGGTCCCCGATTGGAGACGGTGCAGTCTGGGCTGAGGGAACCTCCTCTGCCCCCGGGCATGAATTTCGTGCACCGGGCTAATAGTATCAATATAAAAGAATAAATTCAAAATAGTAAAAATAGTAGTATATAGAGCATGTAGATAAAAGCATACAGAGTTTTCCTTAGTTCACATAGATGCATTACTCTATTTACAGTTATGCCAGCACATCATATAAGCCATGCACTGAAAAATTGTGTATAGCTATTTATAGTTGGAAATAGTATGCTACTGTTTTCTTTAAAATCTTTTAGGATTTGTGCTTTTGAGCAATGTAGTCTCTGGGACCATAATCAGGTGCCTGAGGGCATCAAAACATAAATTTAGTTAGCAGGGTTAGCATGAATCTAAGATTCAATTGAATAAAGACAGGTATGCAGACCAGTAGGGCTTTGATACATGTTAACAAGACATTCAGACATTGTCATTACTTATTATTTCAATGAAAACTCCCCATATTGAATCAATGATGCAGATAGGCAAATCACCTCATTTTAATACTTCATATGTATTACAAATAAAATGAAATCTTAAACTCAATGAGCAAGGTTGTTCTTCATTAAAATGATTTTTACCTTGTACCAAAGGTACCTAATTTAAGGCAAAGAACAATGCTGCAATATAATTGATTTATGTTTCCATGTATATTATTTTATGCATTAAAATTCTGAGATGAGGTTCATACTATTCACCAGAATGCCAAAGGAATCTATGGTGTAAAAAGTGATGGTAAGCCTTGGGAGATATAGATATTTAAAATATATTTTACCATATATTTTATTCATTAAACAATAATATTTTGTTTTGATTTCAGGTGTACAGCATAGTGGCTAGACAATCATATAATTTTCGGTGTTCCCCCCGATATTTCCAGTGCCCACTTGGTACCATACATAGTTATTGCAATATTATTGTCTACTAGAAGCCCAGTGCACAAAATTTGTGCACAGGTAGGGTCCCTAGGCCTGGCCAGTGATCAGGACCGATCTGTGGGGCAACTGGCGGAGCAATCGGGGAACCCCACTGGCACCCGCCTTGGCCTGGCTGGGCACCACCCGCTCACTGGCCCTGCCCCCTACTGACACCCACTTTGGCTGGCCTGGGTCCTGTGGGCTGGGGGCAGCTCCTGCGTTGAGAACCTGCTCCCTGGTGGCCAGTGTGCGTCATTGCGACCGGTCGTTCAGCAGTTCAGTCGATTTGCATATTAGGCTTTTATTATATAGGATTCCTTATACTGTACTGTACATCCTTGTGACTATTTTGTGACTACCAATTTGTACTTCCTAATCCCTTTGCCTAGTCACCCAGCTTCCCTCCCCTTAATTCTCTTTCTCCTCCCTTCTTGCATATACCTTTCGCCTTTTCTTGCTCCTTTCCACATGCTGGCTAATAACACCTGTGTGATACTGTGCACTGGTGTTTCATTTGACTCTTATGTGTCAGTGGTTATTCACTCCTACCCTTCTCAATAGGTAGAAATTTTATGTTTAACTTTGCAAATGGTGTCAAATTCTTTGGAATTTTTGTATGGATACATTTGTAATTTTTGTTTTTCTACTGCCTGCTTGAGGACTAAAGTTGATTTTATTTTTTATTTTGCCCATTCTGAAGCCTTTTTTACATATGACAAAATGTAGTAAAATCATTATGATGAATTGTGTAATTACACTGTTTATAGATCTTTTTTCTTATTATGAGCACAGAACCACACTTTTTAAGTAGACTATTTTTTCCACCCTTTTACTTTATGCAATTGTCACAATCTGTTGTTAAATATTTCAATGACTTATTTATCCATTTATTTTCTTCAACAAATATTTCTATATTGTCTACTATAAACTAGATGCTCTATTAGATGCTGGGCATTAATTGATAAATAAGAAACATATCTTGTACTTTGGAAACACAATGCCTTTTCTGGGAGACAAATGTACAAAGCAGATATGGGATTATGACACAGCATTACTTATATTATGATATACATTGGTATAGAGTTGTATTGGCTACTCAATATGGGTATTAAGCCCTTTCTTATGGGGTTCTGAGGGCTTGCTTGAAGAGATGACGTCAGGTAGTTGAATAAGGACAAGCAGGGCTATGGGCAAGTCATTCCATGGTGAGAAAGAAGTTTGTACAAAGATGCAGAGAAGAGAGATCACAGTACCCCACGAGTGGAGCAGAGCTAGCTGGTGACTGACTGAGAGGATGGAGAAAGGTCAGTACCTATATTAGCTAGTTACGCAGAGGGCAAGATCATGAAGGCCACCCCTTTAAACCATTTAAAGGGGTTTGCACTTTATTTTCATAGCAATGAATTTTAAGGGTTGATCCATGGAAGGGGTCAATGTTGGTGCAACTGAACCAAGCAGGGAGTTGTGATAACAAGGGAAGAAAGGATGGTGAAGCAGCAGTGCCAATGAAGTTCTCTATTGCTATTGATTTAGAGCATCATTTTCTGTGACCTAAACATCTCCTTACTATTCCAGTTCATTCTACTGTGCTGAAACCATCATAATTTTTCACAAATAACAAGTAGATTACATTAATGTCTCACTTACAAAAACTTGTATTTCTTATA